GTCAAAAAAGCCAATTCAAAAGAATAAATCTTTGAATTCAAAACATAATCCTACCTGTCCCGTCGTTCCACCTTTTCTTAATACTCAAGGTACGACATACATATATATACAAAGTATAAAATAAAGTTGTCATTTTGATAATTTTCTGTATTTAAAAATACTTTTGAATCTAATAATTAAAATATTATACTTTATATGTAATTTTTAATATAATTATTTAATATATTTATAATATATGTATTTTACATAATAATTATTAATAACTTCAAATCTTGCATAGCAATAATTTAGTTTATTTGCTAAGTAAAAGTAAGGTGTTACAGCTATTTTTTAATTTCTTTTTTCAATCTGTATATCATATAAAAATTATTCCATATGTTATTATATTCAAGACTATTTTTCTAAAACCTAAAACATTGTTTTATTAAAGATTCAGTAACGCAAATAGTAGAACATCAGGAAAATGTACAAATAGACTGTCAAATTACAAACAGTCATAACATTGTACATAATGAAAGGGAAATGGCTATTGAAACAGATGAAGAAATTGCAGTTACAAAGCCTATAAATTTTAAACATATTAAAGAAGGTAAGAATCTGTAACTGCTTACATACATCTCTATTTTTATATAAAAAATTTTATCCAATTTTTGTTAATATAAACATTACAGCTTTTATGTCTTTTTGCCACAGGAATACTAACTAAGATTTTTACAATTATTGAAGAAGTAAAATTTGAAATGACTACAATAAGAAAAAATCAACAAGAAATAAAAGGAAAAATAGATGCTTTAGTAGCAACAAATAACAATATAAGGATAAATAAATTCAGTCACCTACTTCCAATCACCTCTTTAGAATCTTTCAACGAAATTGATAACTCTTTGGCAAACTCTCAAGAAGACTTTGCATCTTTGGTAAAAATATAACAAACTGTAATAATAGAATAATTTGCTGATTAATATTATAAAAGTTTTAAATGAGCCTTACATTGATAATATTTTGCATAGAAAAGCATAGAAATGATCAGTTTTTTATTAAATGGTATCACACACACATACATACACACACAAAATAGAAATATAATGTAATCCATGTTTTCAACTTATTTATCTAGAATATTTATATAAAGTAATACTTTAATTTTTAGATAAAATATCTCAATTTTGCATCTGGAGATACAGTAAACCAACTGGTGCCATCGGTAATGAAAATTATTATGAAAAAAACTGTTTCCATACACTTTAGTGGTTGCGGGAAGAAAAAGAAACTCGACTTTTCTGCTACAAAAATTGCTGCTGCAGTTTTTGGTAAATTTTATTTGACTTCTTTTTATTATAATACTACTTGAAAGTACATATATCTTACAAGTTTAAAGTTGTATCTTTCAATAAGTAAAAATTTGATTTAAAAAACTCTATAAAAGTATTCGAATATAAAATATTTTTTTAATATTTCTAAATAGAAATCTACTATTGAAATAATTCTAATTATTAGAGGTATATTTTTAATATAAATATATTTTTTTAGGTTTAAATTAATAATAATTTATTAATATGTGCTTGTACAAAGAATACGAACATAATTCTAATATTACTTTTTTATAGAAAAAGTTATATTTCTTTAACTTTTTCTCCATTCAAATCACTTTATAACCTTATAAATAACTTACTAAACACCTTGTATTTAATGTATATTTTGAAGACAAGAAATTGTTTTATACAAAAGACACTATTTGCAAAAAAACTTATTAAATTTTCTTTCTGTTTGTAGAAATAGTATCAAGGAAATTGCCAAATGCAACAAGAGATGAAACATTCAAAAAAATGTCAAAGTTTCTTGCTGAAAGCGGAGACAGAGAAGGAGGAAGAAAAAACAGGTCCAACTCATCAGCCAATTAATCTGAAGTTTCTTCAGTTATTTATTTTTGAAATATTATTTTTTTTCTTTCATGTTCAATTCAAAATTTTTTTTTAATGCTTTTAAATTTAATGATAACAGTGATATAATTTCTGTTCTTCCTTTTACTAACACTCATTGTTTCTAATGTTTATTTGTTTAAGAGAGTGTAAGAATATTGCATTTTTTATGTTAAAAAAAAGAATGAGAAATTTTAAATTAATGTGATATTTATAACACATTTTGTTTTATTTTTTAAAAAAAGAATAAGAATATGCATTTTATTTGTTAAAAAAGGAATGAAAAATTTTAAGTTAATATGATGTTTATAACATGTAATTTGTTTTATATGAGATATACAGAATACACACACACACACACACACATTTTATATATGTAAAATGTTTACAAGTTTTAAGTACATCGATCTTTAATAAATAATTTTTTAAGACAACTTTTAATGAAAACATTTTTGTTACTATAAGAAAACCTTAAATAGAAAATATTATGTTTTAATACCTGTCTCTTATACACA